GTTCGCATTCCACGTGTGTGTATAGGTAAAGACGAAGAAGGCACATCGATTACCGGAATTATGGTTTTATTCGTCTGAGCTTTCGAGCGCTTACGGGAGGCAAGTGTCAGAGATAAAAGCGGCAACGATAACCAAGCAGCAGTTATAGGGGGCGGGGCCACTCAACCACCAGTGACGTCAGTCTGGGCTCTGTATGCCCGCGCTAGATGGATAAGCCAATTGACTGAGCGCTAATCTGAGGCTCAGACATCAATCATTTCTCGTTCGGTCTTGCTGCTGGCATGAGCAATAAACTTCGCGGCTGCGAAGTTAAACTCGTGACCCGTCTCGTAGGTGTGGCCAGCCAATTGTGATAATGCGTTACCCCGTCTCACAGTCGGCCTATGCTTGTGTGTGCGCGAAGCAAGCATGCATCCACTCTGTAAATACCACGAGGGAATGCCCATTATAGATTGTTTAAAAACTTTTTTTGCAATGAAATAAGAACAGCAAGAAATTTGCGTATTTTACAGCAGTACAATCAGTTCTAACTGAAATATCGCTTTTTGTGCTTCAGTATGGATGGATTTGAGAAGGAGCGATTAGAGATCATCCGCATGCAAGAGCAAAGGGCCCGAATGCGCGAGGAGCAGCTCAATTTAAGACCCGTAAGTGTTCGTATCTAACCTTTCTTTAAAAACCTCTAAGCATGTTTATGTTGTCAACTTATTGCTAGTGTATTCCAGAAAACCGACCAGGTTCTAAGTTCACCAGGGGACAATTGGACTAAAATAAATTGTAATTGAGTGAACGCGCACGATAATAGGAACATATGCTAAAAAAAGAACGTTTTCAAGAATTTGTCATACAACTTTCAATTTTACATAAAGTCTCGATTTTAGGCCATTACACACCATCACTTACTACGCAAGCATTCTTGATAGTGTTAGTAGTGGACAGGTTTCGGTTTCGGAATGACTAGATCAAAGATATATTGTTAGGAGTGGGCTGAACAATTTCAGCGAGGGTGAGAAAACTTCATCGTCTAATGGAATGGAGACGGACAGGAGCGGGTGAAAATGAGCAATAACCGCAAGCGGTGTCAGACGAACGTATGCTGCTAGCTGGACGTAACGCCTACATCAGGCCTTTTGGATACAGAAAACCAGTTTCTCGATTTGATTATTCGCAGTTTCTGGTCTCGCTAAGATACAGGCACAGTAGCATCGAACTAAGCCGCCACTTCCCGTTCTATTTATTCGTGAACATCATTTTGCCTGACTATCCGTCCAGTATGAAAAGGGTTTAATTTCGGACTAGTTGATGAAGCCGTCCACTGACTGGGTCACACTTTCTTGAAGGAGTTGACATCAACACTGTAGCCCGGTAATTAAGCAATTTGTTTTTTTGGCTTGTCTTGGAACACAAACATTTTCATATATGTATAATGAATGGGCATTAAAACCCCTAGACTCTGAACAATGCCTAAGGAGTTTTTTCACTGTCAGCCCCCCTTACCCAAATTCAAATTACCTGGCAACGCCACTGTTCTGAAATGTTCTGCAGATCAAATGCATTGAAAAAACACAACGCCACTGTTCTGAAATGTTCTGCAGATCAAATGCATTGAAAAAACTGTCCTGTACCAATAGGGAGTTCAAAGGTATTTACCTATGTATTCCTCAATAAAACCTGACCTGACCTGAAAACTATTTGTTGTCTGAAAAGGCTTTCTAGCCTATTCACTCAGTCATCCGAAACTGCTATCTCAGCATTAAGTCTTCGCCTCGCGCATATATTCTTAAATACAGACTCCTTTCTGGCTCCTATCTCTTCACCTCAGCAGTGTTAAGATTGGGAACTTGATGTATTTTGACAGTCTGTGATGGTTTATCATGAGTTGCCGGTTATCACAGTAGCTATTACTTTGTTAGTAAGTTCCCTTGTCAATCTTAACAAACCGTGTGATACAGAAACCGATCAGCATCAAGGAACTTATACGTTGTCCCATCTTACCCGATGTTTACTGCACAGTACAGCAGTAGAGATATAAAAGGAAACTCTAAACCTGTAAAAAGCCATGTCCGGGATCCTGATGAGGCGAACCTCAGAGGATAGAGGTCGAGCTATACGTATTGGGATAAGGTCACACGACCAGTTGGCCCTTGAGGTACTGCGACCATTTGGGCACGTGCGTAAGCTCGCGTGCGTATGTGTCCGGTTTAAGGCCATCGCTCGGGCACAGCCCAGCGAAGGCATATGACCTTGGAGGCAGTCCGCTGTTGACAAAGGAACCACTGTGACAGTCGGCGGCAGACATGACGCCTCAGGAGAACCTGCAAATGTTTCCAGCATTTGGTCAGACTACACTCCTAACAACAGAGGCCGGTATGAAGCGAGTGGAGTTTGCTAAAGCTGTAGGTTTATCGATCAGGACGGTCAAGTATTGGTGATCGCAGTACACGCAGACAGGTACCCTCACAAAGCAGAAGAATTCTGGAAGACCAAATATTTTGGAGAGAATTGAAAAGATTGTTATTGCAAACTGTATTGGTAAACCATGGCAAAATAAAAGGAAACTCCAAAAGAAACTGAATGCTTAAGGCCTGAAGGGTTCTAATATCGAGCGGAGTTAAGGCCTAGAAGGTTATCCCTAATAGCTGCGATCTTCTAGGCTCATGGTTCATTTAGGTGAGGTGAGAGAAGACGGTGGGAAGGCCAGATTGTTAGGAAAAGTGTATTCTGCAGAAGGATAGAAGAATAGATGGAAAGAATTTTGACTCGCGGACGAGCGCAACCGTTCCCTAGAAGGGTCGGATCCCGAGTGAGGCATGAAGGCAGACATCGCATTGTTGTCTTTGTCCCACGGATTGAGGCCAACCTACTAAATGAGGTCAGTTTACTAAAGCAGGAATCTCATTGGGTAGATTGAGGTCAAGCCATCGTGTGTTGAGGCTAGAATGGGGGAGATACGATGCGTGCGTTTGGGTGCGCGTCAGTTGCATCTGGCAGCAGTGGCGGTCGCCCGTCCGTTTGCGCATGCCTCGAGGCACGCGGGAAAACTGCTTCCGCATGAGGTCCTATGCTCTGAGTGACCTCGTCTGTGGCGTCAACAGTTAGGAGGACGTCGGACAGACACGATCACTACACTAAGCCCAGTGTTCACGGGCATTTGCAAGAAAGCTTGGGTGTTACCGCCTGTCACAGAAGGAAAATCCCTAGACAACCAGAAAAACAAATCGAAGATTTGAAGACCTTCTGTAAGGTGGTCAGGAGGTGGAATGTAAACGATGTTAAACAAATCGTCTTTTCCAACGAATCGCCGTACAAACCGTTCCATACGCCAAAAACAAAAATGACGTAATTTGGGCTCCGAGTCCTAACATAGTTGACAATGTTGAAGTTCTGAGGTTTAGCCCTACAGTCATGGTGCAGGGAGCGGTGTCCTTTGGAGGGCTCTCTGAACTCTACATTTTACCACAGAGTCAACGACTGAATGATTAGCATTATAAAAAGGGGATCTTAAAGCCAAGTAGGGTAAAAGTTGTCCTAAAAGTCAAAGGAAAATTACTTGTAAAGTAAATTGCGAAATATATATTACCTTAGAAACTGCGGATGTGGTATTAGGGTGCAATAAATTTCGGAACACCCCTTAGAATAGGTAATGCCTCAACGAGTAGATTTGGTTGGTGCTAGTCTTTTTGCTGGCGACACTTTACGGAATGAAAGATCAAATCGCTTCTTTCGTTGGTGCCTTTATTGAAACCTAAACTTCCATATACATACGCAAAAGGTAAGGATGTGTTCTCTATATACCGTTATTGCCGAAGGGTTTCTTCCGCAGCTTATGAGCACAATGACACCAGTCTCTTATTTTAGGCCACAGAGCATAAACCAAAATCGGCAGGCCCGAGTGACGTCCATCAGTTTAGCCGGATCCCTCCTCACGTGGACACGAGTAAGTCCTCAGACTTTTTCCGTCGCTCACGCTAAATAAAAAGCTGATTTTCAGTCTTCTAGCCATCCCTGTCTCATTTGCTTTTCCAGACCCAACGTACGAAAACTGCAGCGGACTGAGCAAGTATACCAATCAGTATTTTGGGAGTAGAGAGTCGGCGAAATCCAGGGAGTCTGTTGCCCTCTCAGATCGGACATCGGGTCCTCTGGTTCGAGGGAACGAGCTGAGATGGAGCAAGAAGTCAGTCACCTTTGATGAACAACCCGCAACGGTGTCTGTTTACACTCCGCCTGGTACACCACACGAGAGTCTGTCAGAGGGTGTAATGACGCAGCGCGACCATGAGAGCGGTCACATCGAAAACCAACCGCTCAACCTCCGTCCCCAGCGGAATCTCCTGGACACCCGTACAACCGATGAACGTAAGTTAATAGTGGTCGAGAAAAGC